TTAGGCTGGATTCAGACTGAACGCGACGAGCGATATCCAATGAGCGTACAGTCTTTATAGGAAAACTATACGCTTTCCTGTATAATCTGTACGCCCATTGGATAATCGCTCGTCGCTCATCGCTCATCGCGTTCAGTCTGAATCCAGCCTTATACGGCATTCGAGTGTGCCGAACGCGCAATTATCGGACACAACATAAATGCCAGCCACGGGAAGAAAGATCGCGAAGTCCGTTTTAGAAATGCGCCGATTTCTTCCGCCAAGAGAGGCATAAGACGACCGGCTCGTCGCTTTTGCGAAACCTTTCTTTCGTAATGTCGCGCACAATTCTCTTCCATTTCTTGTCTCGTTGCACTCAGCGTTTGCATCAAACTCCACCAAATCGATACTAATTACATCGATTTCGCGAATAAAACATATCAGCGGGACTTCCTGAACGTGCACTTTGTCTGTTAGAACGAAGCAAAACGCCAAATAGTTGATAGATGACGTATTTTTAAAGTGATATAAAAAATACGAAATATTGTAAATAATGCGAGTTGTTAAATGAAACCGTATTAGGTAGAATATAAATCGTAACTGTTGAGTAACTTTTATTTCGCATGCGTAATTGTTAGCTTGGAAATCTCTCGCGATTTTAGAATACCTGCCTACGGTTGTGGAGCAATCTTCTGTCTCTTTCTTTCTCGAGCTAAGCGAGGACGCCGCAATGAGCCTTGAAAGAAAAGGATGCCACCGCCGAGGCAACGTCGTCATCGTCATTGCGGTCCGAAAAAGTCCGCAGCTGCCGCCTCTAGATGCAATCGCTCGTTCTCTATTCGGCTTGTCCCAGCTTCGTTTTCGATTCGCGGAGACTATTCCATATTAGGCGAATCTTGGCGAAGACGTGAACGGTGTTCCCAGGAGATCCGATTTTCAAATTAAAAATTTTAATTCACAATTTCAATCTTCACATTTAAACTCGCAATCAGCCTTGCGTTGCCTGGAACAAGAACAGGAGACTATTTTGCCAGATTTAATTCCACGTAGATATTTCTCATTTCAACGACTTAATGTAAGTTCTTGGTCTCTCATTTCATCACTCTATTACGTAAAATATTCATACATTAGTGGCTCAACTATACAGGGTGAGTCGTAAAGGCTGTCCCAACCTTTTACCATAAGAGGTGAATTACCGACCGCAACTGTAACCAACTCGGGGGAAAAAATGGATAAAATCTCGTTCTACATATCTCAATCATGTATTATTTAATTACATTTCTCGAGAAATAATTAGATATTACATGATTGAGACATGTAGAACGAGATTTTATCCATTTTTTCCTGAGTTGTCTACAGTTGCGGTCGGTAATTCGTTTCTTATGGTAAAAGGTTGGGACTTTACGACTCACCCTGTATAGTGATAGTTTCTCGATGATCTACTGTCTCAAATTGGACTTTACAACTATCGGGCAATAGATTTTGAACCATTATTGATAGCCAAATGGAACCTACGGGACTAACATATTCTCGCCCCTCAGCGCTGAATAAGTTTTTATTTTAACTCTGGACCTAATTAAGCCAACTGCACACGATACTATTTTTCCTGGATTGTTTACGAGAGCCAATCAGGCTTTAGTCTTAAGTCACCTGATATGAAACCCTGCATCCTTATTGGCTCTTGTAAGAAATCCAGTAGGAAAAATGGTATCGTGTGCTGTTGACTTGATTGTTACCGCGCGTAATTTATGCTAACGTCTATTTGTGCCCGAATTTAGTCTGTTATCTTCCTTTGTTCGTTAAATTCTCAATCTTCGAATTATAAGTCTCTCGGATGTCCGCCAGAAAGATATTTATTCTCCAGCTCGATTTTTTCCGCGTTTACTTATCTCGCACTCTCGAATACTGACTAAACGGATATTTTAATTGATCCGATTGCACGCAGTCATGCATTGGTTCCGCGCATTCTCTCCATTTATTCAACAGTTTAACGCTTGAGTAGAGCCGCTCGCCCTTGAATTTCAAAGAATGACCGACGAATCGGCGGCGTAAAGCCGGCCGTTCGCGCTTTACGTCCCGTGCGTGATTTTCTCGATCCTCTGGCGAGGCGGGTTCTCTCCGCCGCGCGCAATAGAAATACGATCGTACGAAGCGATTATTTCTTTGCGGCACACAGCCTGGATAATTGCTATCTCGCTTATTGCGCCTCGGTCTCGCTTGTTGCGTTTTGGCCAGTGAGTATTTGGAATGAACGCAGTGGCGTAGTTCGAGTCTCTTACTGTTAATCTTACCTGACGGACGTCTTTCTTTGCTCTTATCAAGATGCGAATTGCTTTCCCGTATAACGCGCAGTATCGTCAGACGTCATGGTACGAGAGAAAAATTGCTCTCTTGCCTCGTCGAAATTGCGAATCGGTCTTGTTATAATACGGACATTTTTATGCAGATTTGAATTTTTATTTATCAAACACTTTAAACTAATCGTACGCAACAATGTTTTTACTAGTCCAATTGATCAGTTGTGAAGCTCTGAACTAGATTGATGTCTGAATAGGAGAAGTTAAAAATCTCTGCTTCGAGTTTCTCTTTACGTCGCGTCGGCAGAAAAGAAAAGGAAGCTGACTACGCTCCTGATGCAAATTCTCGTCCCGCAGTCAGAGTTGGCAGTTATGCAGAAAAGACCATTCCGAGCAGTTACTTGGAGCTCGATTCGACAGGGCCCCGGTACCTTATTAGAATTTATATTTCAGAGTATTTCAGGAAATTGCGCGCTGCCTTTCAACCGGGTATTTTCTAATGAATCCGAGAATCATTTTTCCTCCTCTCTCGAGAGAGGTCGTTCGTTAAGTCTGTGACTTTTCACCGCCGTAAGAGATCTCCGACATAAAATTTCGGAATGTAAGGGCCGACTCGTTTGACATTAACCGGACTCTTTCTTTCCGGTATAACAAGCTCACAGGGTCGCTAATAATTTTGTCATTACTGAGCTTGATTTAAAAACATAAAGGTCGGCATCGTTTTTTCCCTCAAAATGTCACAAGACGAAATATTTAATTCATCTCGTCCGATAATATCTCGTTGTAAAATATTATCGGCAAAAGGATATGCACTACCGCTCATAATTATTCAAACAACTTCCAGACTTCAAAGAGACAGTTACGTCCGGGAAAAAAGTAAATGTTCGGAAGTGGTGCTCCAGCAGGAATTTTTTGTGGCAATTAACAAAACGAGTTATAAAAATATATGTACGTACGGTTTTAACAGGGGACTTAATGTTTTTGTAGGAAAAAAATTTGAAAATATTTTATCAAGGATGGAGCGTGGGGTGGACCTCGCTTCACGTGGAAAGTTGCAAACCTATATGGAACATTTATCGGGACAAATAAAATTGATAAAGCCTATTTTACTTAATAAGTTTATAGACGTAACCAATGTAAAAAATTAATAATCGACAAAACTGGCAAATTCTAATTAAAGAAATTTATTGCGAAAAATATTACCTCGGCTAGGGCTTGAACCTGGATCTCCCTACACTAGGCGGCGTCTCGCCAATTCGACCACGAGGCATGTGGTAATATTTATCGCAATAAATAATCTAATGATGATATTTTCGACTTTGAACTGCGCGCCGATCTAATTTATTAGGATTTATTAATTCTTATTTAAATGACGTTCTTTAGTACAAGCCTCCTTTGTTTTGACTACAGTTGTGTTGAATTAATTTCGTTAATGTTTCTGCTGACATTTTATTCCGCGCCTTTTATTTCGTACAAACGTTCTCTTTGTTTGTGGAAAAGAGAAATTTTCACAAATAAAATCACAATAACTTATAATATTGAATCGGAGATAATTGGAGATAGTGCGATGATTGTCTTAATAATTTAAGTTTAGAATATCGTAACAGTTACAATCGATATATAACACAAAAACAGCGTTAATTATTTTAATAAAACGTTATAATCTCTGGTAAAAACACTATGGGATTATTAGCTTTGAAAACTGGAACGAAGTATAGAATACCTGTTGTTCTCATAATTATGTATACGTAAAGGAAGGGAAAAATGCGCGACGCAAATTACACATTTCAAGCGTCATTCGCGATATTTCACTTTACCTTCGGCAAATATCGCGCGTTGTTTACCGTAAGTTTCCACCCACGCGATCGAGGCCCACAAAGTGCTTTGCTCGAAGATTTACTCTCACCGCGTCACCGCAATATCATTATGAGCCACAGAAAGGGGAAAAAAAGACGAAGAGAGAGTGTCTTGTAATAATATCGTGTAACTTACGTACGGGCGAGTTATTACGCGCGCGGAAATATGTTAATACGCCTATTTCTTAATATACAGCCGGTAATGATGCACTTTACTTTATGGGATCGCGCGCACAGAACGTGTTCTCGAAACAGCCGATATCTCCCGCGCCGCCGAAGGAAGCGGATTTTTCCACCGACGCGTTTAACCTTATGCACTCCAGGAAATAGGCTTGACCAGGAAGCTGACCGTCGGGAAGTTTTTGAAAGAATTGACAATGTGTTGTCTCCGTGCCGTGTCGTTCGATACGAAATGTAGGAAATTGTAAACCGGTTGCTTTGAGATACTAGTCGTCATTAGGGATGCGATCAATTAAGAGGATCCCTCAGCCATCATTTTACCGACCCAGTCAAATATTTACGCTTGTAATTCTTCTTATTAGCTTTTATGCACAAAATAATACCAAGATAAGTTGCGGACCGCATGGCAGACCATTTTCATACTTCAAAAAAACTCAGTTCAAAGGTCTTTCATATATTATATTAACTGTCACCCTGTACTTGCGAAGTAATCGATTCCGACTGATTAGTTTTAAATTTTAGAATCGAGTTCAATACTTAAAAATCGGAATCAAATTCAATGCTCAAGTTTCATTTTCTAGGGTCTGAGTAATATTATAACAATAATTCTTCGCGTCCTGATGCTCCATTTACGAGAGAACTGTGGGAAGAGTCATCACTAATCGCTCGTGACTCGCTTGTTTTTCAGAAGGCAGCAGCTGGAGCAACCCGTCTATTGCGAGTCCGAATCACGGCGACCCACCACCGTGGAAAATGACAAGCAAGACGTATCAGGCGCCAATCCGGAGAAAGTTAAGGTAAGCTACGCTCACATCGTGTCGACTATGCTAAGTGGCATGTTTCCACGAATTAGCTGGTACAGTTGTACACGGCAGAAAGGACTGTAGCTGCCGTAGCTAAAACCTGCATGTGACAACTAAATTTCAGTTGTAAAATATGGACAGCTAATATTTAATTATGATAGCTAATATTTTGCTACTGTGCCTGTTATATTAGGTGCGACAGCAAACCGTTTGCTGTGGTTTAGAACTCTATATAGTTATGACGGCGAAATATTTTTAGCAAATCATGATAATTGCTACGGTAGCGAAAAATTTTTTTCAGTGTACATAAGTCTAGCCGTGATTGTTTCGTGCTCGCGACAACTAATCGCATAGCTTTGCGAACGAGAGCGAGAGACGAGGTGAGGGAAAATGCATTCTGAAATATCTGTTGCAGAGCACGACACAGGATCTATTCGAGTTACTCGAGCGAGTGCAGAGTTCGCGTCTCGATGACCAACGTTGCGTTCTGCCGTCGTACTTCTCTCAGGTATGCGACAAGATTTATATTTAAGATTTACTCGCGCGTCACTGCAGCATCATTTATACGAGTCGTAAATAGGGGGATGAGGGGAAAAGAGGAGATACGTGAATGACACGATAGACTAAATTTTATAATATATATATATGTATATATATATGTATATATACAAGGTATAAACTAATTTGTGTGGCGAGCGTGGCGCAGAGAAATGTGCGCTGCTTAGTAAACAACTGAACAAAAAGATCGGAGTTTAAATCCACTCACGGATGCTACTTTTTCCGGGCGCTACCTCTCTCTCGGAGGGAAGTGGCAACCACCGAGAGTATCCTGCCACACATATCCCTTTAGGGGTATAGCCAGGGTCGGTACATCCTGAGGTACGTCTGGGCGTTATAGTTGGCAGCTCCAATTCCAGACTAAGGCTCAATGGGCTAATCGTCCGTCAGCCTGACTGGCACTGCTCGATTACTGAAACTATTAGCAAAGGAAGCCGGAAGGATAACTCGTTGATGATATTTGGCTATAGAAAAACCAAATAAAACATCTTGCCCAAAACAGAGATAACTGGCAGAATTTCCTAAAAGCTCCATGTTCCAACTAGATTTTTGTGCATGGACATTTTGTGTACGTTACAATATACACAAATTTTCAACAATTGGAGCACTATTGCAACAGCATATTCCTGAGACCAAATCAAGTAAAACAGTCCTGTACTACTTTTCCCTCCGACAAACAGTTATCGAGATATCATAAGCTAAACATTGAAAAATATATATATTTTCTCTTGAATATCTCAAAAAGTATTAGGCAAATCGAAACATGTTTTAGACAGAAGTTGTTCATACTACTTAATAGAATAAGATAGTACAATAAACAATGGGGGGGGGGTTCCATTAAAAAAATTGAAGGTGACCTTCACGTGACCTTCAAGCAACTATTCAAGGTCAAATTAATGACACCATCTTATGTCCCCCTCGAAACCCAACAACTTTTGCCCAGGTCATTTTTTACTAGCCCCCTTTCCCTAAGAGATATTTGCGTGCGTCGATTAAAATGACTCACTCCGTATATAATAAATTAATATATCTATACTAATTCGTGCTCGCTAGTTACACAGTGATATTCCTCATGAAATTGTAAGTCGAGAAGTCCCGAACCATTTTTTCGAATTATGCTTTATAACGTAGTTCTTATTAATGAAAAATTAGCCAATCAGCATTGCTTTTTAAACGGACAGATATTCTAAGAAGAGAGCGGTCATAAATAACTACATACTTGTACATGATGTATAATGCCTATTTAAGAGTAAAAATTTTTTTTCATTTCTTACTCAGGACGGCTTATACGCGTATATATTTTAAGAGTCAACTCTGATATACCGGTGCCCGTATATGCTCTAAAAGAACGGAACTGCTAGTCCCTCGTTATCTAATTTCACGCGTCGAAATAATTTAATTCGAAACCTCACGAAAGCTGGTCCAAATTTACGACATTTCATTTCTCTCCCACGCTTTCACGGTCGATTTAACTTTCAAGCGTTTTGAAATGACATTGACAACTGTATGTACATAGCGACCGAATATTTCAAGCATGTCTAGTACTGCGTAATCACCACGTGCATAAATCGTTACGTTACTTCGCGAAAATGGATGGAACAGGGAGACCTTTGAGCACAATATATGGTACATATATCGCTTGCGCCGTAATAGATTCCACAGAAAATTTGATAATCAAAGTTATCTTTTTTTACACACACACACACACACACACACAGAGTACAGCGTGTGTCCCACAATCGCAATTGTAATTTTAAAGACGTATTCCTGAGCAATAAATAAGACGAAAATCTTTATGAAAATCTAATGCGAATACATTCGCAAAAAAATAAGGCAAAAATCATAACACGAAAATGTATGCAGTCGTCCCTAAGCATGCGAACTTTAGACTATCTGATTCGTTTACTATAAATACTTTCCATTTGAAAAGTATTAGTCTCGACATTTTTTTGTATTAAGATTTGCGATTTCTTATTTATGGCTCGGGTATATGTTATTAAAATTACAGTCGCGAGTTGTGGAACACCCTGTACACATGTATATATATTTTTCGCTATTGACATAATATTTTGCTAGAAAATAATCGTTTCTCAAAATAAATCTCTGAACGAAAGAAAGAGTAAAAATGCCCTTTTTTCTGAAATCGTCCATTCGATTATTCTAAACTTTTTTTGCGCGTAAGTCTCGCGTGACACTGTCTGCGCCTGGCTGTAAGAACGAGCCTGAGATGAATGGACGACGATGCGAGAAAGTGGAGATGGGAAGAGGCTGAGAATGAATGAACAACGTGATCCGTCACGGCTGCCTGGACGCGGGCGAAAGAACTCGAGACGAATCGCCCGATCGCGCATTACTTGATTTCCTGCGATCGAGCAGAGCCACGTCGCGCATGGGTCCCCGTATCGCGTCAGATCCCGCGTTTTCCCCTCTCCCTCCTCGCCAGAAAGGGGTATCGTGTCAGTTACACGTTAAATCGCCATGGTACAGGGGAATGTATGTCCCCCTTTATTTAGTCCGAAATGGAGGGAGGGAGAGAGAGATGCGCTCGTCTTCGTCTCGATTGCCGGTTTCGCGGTAATTGATTGAACGTCCAACAGGATTAAATGACACCAAAGCAAATGATACGGGATGATACAGGAAAACGTTCTCTTTTCAACCATATAGAGAAACAGTAAAAGGGGAATATTAGTGCTTCAAAATCAAAGCATTGAAGCATTCCCGAAATTAAAATTGCTGAAAATATTTTTTTATATTGTATTAATGAATGATGATGAAGTTTTTAATTACCTGGAAGTGGAGGTATCAAGTGTTAGAAATATAACCAGAGAAGTCGAAAGACAGGTCTGTGAGGCGGCTTAGAAACGTTATTATAGCAGCACAGATTTGTAAGCACACAAAGCAAAATAAGGATCTACAAAATCTGAATAAGACCGATCCTCACCTATGCAGCTGAAACAAGAACAGAAATATCAAAGACAACAAGAATCGTGCGAACAACAGAAATGGAAATATTAAGAACCATTAAAGGCGTAATCCTTAAAGACCAGATTAGGAGCGAGACAATAAGGGAGGAACTTGATATTGTGAGGTGGACGAGAGCACGGTGACACTGGAGAGATTACATCGATAGAATGGATAGCGAAGTAGACAAAAACACAAAAACCGAACACGGCCCAGGAAGGCCATCAAAACGTTGGCATGAAACCTGGACGTCGGGATCACAGGAGACATGAAGAAGGCAGTGGAAAAAATCAACTCAATCTAGAAACAAGAAGAAGAAGATATTCCACAGATAAATTTAGTATCGCCAGTAGTTTAAAAACCAATGATATGTAATTTTAAACGACCTACACTGGCCAATGTTTTTATTTTAAAAAACACACTACAACGTTTCGGTCCCGGGTTTGGACCCTTCTCAAGTAATCTGTTCACGAAGAAGATATTATTAGAGACAGCGATCATGTAACAATAACTAGGAAATTATTCAACATTGACAATTAATTTCTATTCCAAAAAACTTCCAAGAAATTCTGGAGAAGAGATGCGAACAAATAATAAGACCACGTTGTTTCCAGTTAATCTTAGTTGAATAATTTAATTCAAAGCGCCGGGAATCATCAGTCATACTCATTGTCAGTTTAATCAGACGCTAAATCGGATCCTATCCTTCGATCGAAAAATACCAAGCGACTTTTACACTCGTGGGAAAAATCATCGCGAATAACAGGCAGAGAAAAAAAACAAGAGGCATCTGCAGGAAGTTGCGCATATGGGAATCGCTTTTAAGGAACATTACGCGCCTCTCGCTTTCTTTCTCGCCGGTGAATCGCGATCCGGATTTCGACATACGCGCTGTAATCATCTGCGTGCCACATGCTATTCCACAATATCGTGAGAAGCGTTCGCTCTTTTTTACCCACAAACTCTATTTTAATTCTTTTTCTCCTGCTTTCGTTTCGTGTGTATGTATGTACCTATAATTGATGAATATTTTTGCTGCTGATAATGCAGGTCGCTTCAGCTAGGAAGGTATGTTATCGACTAGATCTGCATTATCAGCTTAATTCAAAGAAGTTGGTATCATAGTAATCTTCTTTATTAACAATTGAAAAGTAATCTTATTACATTTTTTATGTATATTTAAAATTATATGGATCGGACGAATAAATTATTGCAAATTGTAAAATTTAGTTTTCGACGATGAAATTAAGGCTAATGTCAATGTTACTTCTTACACAATTTAAAGAAATACGTTTATGCGTTCAAATAATTATTTTAATCAAAAGTACATTTAAACAAACATATGAAATAAGAAAATTCAGAAAATTGAATTAAATCTCTTTGATTAGTGTTTTTTAATTTCCATTAACATATTGCGTGGATATGTTTTATGAGATTGCCGCTAGATGGCAAAAGAATTCCATTACTTTGAATCCAACTTTTTACTTTAACTTTCCTTAGTAATTAATAGGGGTATATCTTCGGGGTGGTAGGCACTAAGACACTTATTAATTTTCGACGAGAAAAATTACGGGCTAGGACTAGATCATCATTGAACCTGGGACCTTTGGCTTGCCAAGGCCCTGAGTTCAATATGCTGTGGATATTCGTATCTACACATAATACTTCATACATATACATACATATGTATGCATTTTGCAAGCGGTACTGTAATAAATATGACAAAAGGTGAAAAGAAGAAAAACTAATGAGCTGAATCAAGATAGCGAAAATTAAGGGTTGTTTTTAATTTATTTATATTCTTTAATTTAAAAAATTTAATCTTTCAAAATGCTTATATTTTGCCATATTTTTATAATAATATTTGTATAATAGTAAGGTCACATTAAGACCCGGATTTTCCAATGTTACTCAATTTTAACTTTAGTTTAACTCAAGAAATAACGAATGAGTTAAATTAATATTAAAATAAAGTGACGTTGGAGAAAT